CAAGGCTTCAAGTCTTCTCCCATGGATTCAGAATCATCTGATGGCTTCCCATAACCTTCAAGTTAGGATACATACACTCTTATATCCAACCCATTCTCTGAGGATGTTTAACTTCTCTGATGAGGATATCAACCCTTGGATACTTGAATAAAGACCCTTAGCTAGCTTCATAACTTTGGTAGCCTTTGGTTGGTAGTCATACCTCTTGATCTCCTGCACACATGTCAAGGCATGCAGATGATAATGCTAAAATGAATGCAATGAAACACAAGCGGGGCAAAGAAAATAGGTTAGGCAAATTTTGGGGTGCAACAGAGACTCGATGATTTTGCTGCTACTGCTAAAGTGTGATCCTATTATAAACTGTTGATAATGATTTTCAAGTCCAAGTTTCTCATATCTATATTTTAAAATCCAATGATGTTATGTATCCATCATATTTGGATAGTTCTTATGATAATTTCATTGGCCAATGCACAGTGTTTCTTTAACATTATCACTTTATATGTTTGCTCATCGATAATGTTGTTGTCTCATAAGGCAAGGTATGTGCAAGTTTCCATTATGCCTTTGGTGTTCAAAATTAGAGAAAAATGCGAGGTATTACGGACGGGCATCTTACAGGAAGAGAATTGATATAAAGCATGTAACTAAGTGGGTCAAACGGACCATCCCGCTAGCAGACAACATGATGAGAAGTTCAACGTGAAATCTATGATCACCCACAATGATATGCGAATTTTTCACCTAAATAACCAACATTTCACCCCCTAATAACCAATATACCCAACATTTCACCATATATACCAATCTACCCATGTTTAACGTTTTTTTTTACTTTTGTACAGGGCGTCATGGGTGTTGGAGTCACCCTTATAAATTATAGGAGGGCGCCATGGGTGTTGGAGTCACCCTATAATTTATAAGAGGGGCGCCATCTCCTTTGGAGGCACCCCTTATGAGTTAAAGGGGGGCGCCATCCCCTTTGGAGCCCCCTTTATTTTGTTTAATTTTTTAATTCTAATATAAATAATATAATTAATATTTAATACTATTTTAGACAAAAAAAATTTGTATAAATAGTTAGACTTGTTTCATTCAAATTAACATTGTTTCATCCAAATTTAGGAGAGTGAGTCATGTATCTTAGAAGATATGCGCATGTAATTTTTTCAAGAACGAAGCCTCCGATAAGGATGTTGTTTTGGAACATCCAGAGTTTAGAGCAACTACGAAGAAATTTGAATCGGTGGTTAGAAGGAGACATTCCAAATGGTGAAAGCATTAGGAGTATTGAAAGACTTGTCTTGTACTTCTCTGTTGAAGACAGAAATATACGGCGGGAGTGGGTGCAAATTAGAGATGACAACGCAGTTAGGTCTATGATGTTTGAAACTGAAGATATTACTTTTATTGTTGTTATATCTTAGTTTATGTTGTAATAATCGTTATATTTTTAATGATTTGCGTAGTTGCTCTAGAAGTATTTCAATTTTTTTATGTGGTAATCAGAAGTTGTTATAAATATTAAATTCCAAGGTTACACATTTTCTTAATGACCAAATTAAATCTATCTAGAACTTTTTCCAACATTTGGACAATTATTCCTCGTATTCCCGGGAAGACGGCATATTCCGCATAGTCTTTCCATTTTCTCAGTTGTATCCATTTCAGTTGTAATTCGCGTGCTTTTGGGGCGTCCCTTTTTGTTTCGTCTCATATTTTCGTTGTGGTAGATTGTGTCTCCATGATAGGTTGGCAAATATTCCTCACTAGCTACCACTGGAAAACTGTTATTGTAGATACCGAATAAGTTCATGACCTTGTAAACTTCTGATAGTTGCAAGAATGGATCGTGACGAGCACTGGAACATGCGGCAATGACATGTGAACAAGGCATGCAGAAGGTTTGAAACTTTCCGCAGTCGCACCAATTTTTATGAAGTTCCACCCTGTAGTGTCCCATTGGCCGAACCTCGTTGTGATCTATTGTCTCATCAACAATGAAGTTGTAATCGTGACGATCAAATGGTCTAACTCGATGTGAGGTTGCCTTAAAAGTTTCATCCTTCATATATTTCATACATGATTCACCGAATATTTGCCCTGATTCCAAAACCGCGCTCCATTTTTTGCCTCTTGCCGCAAAAAGTGACCCCAATCTATAATAGGTTGCTCTTACCAACGCAGTGATGGGGAGGTTCCTAGTTCCCTTAAATACGCCGTTTAGGGATTCTACAAGATTTGTGTTCATGTGACCCCATATGCATCCCCCATTAAAAGACCTTGTCCATTTCTTGACTGGAATGCTATCCACCCACCTTAATGCTTCCGCGCTTGACAATCTTATTTCTTCACGGTAATACATGAACGATGATTGGTTTAAGGCATACCCAGCGTTCACAACTTTTTTATGGAGATTTCTGTCTTTCATTTCTCGCATAAAATTCTGAGCAATGTGTCTTATGCAGTAGACATGGACAGAAGGAGGGTTGTGCCAACCATTAGCAGGATTGTTGTAGGCGCTCACAATAGAGGCATGTCTGTCGGAAATCAGACATAAGTTGGGTAGTGGAGTGACATGTATTCTGAGATTTCTGAGGAAGAAACTCCAAGCTTCACCTGTCTCACCCTCGACCAGGGTAAAGGCAATCGGAAATATATTATTATTTTCGTATTGTGCAACCGCCATCAACAATGTTCCTTTGTATTTTCCATACAACCATGTTCCATCGACTTGAATAACCGGTTTGCAGAATGCAAAACCGTTAATACATGGTTGAAATGCCCAAAAGAGACGAAAGAATATCCTACTTCCATCAACACATGTTCCTTCAGGAGTGTATGCTGGTAGTGACTCCAATATTACAACCATACCAGGAACATATTTTTGAAGTGCTAGTAAATACTGTGGTAGTTGATTGTAAGATTTTTCCCAATTCCCATATACATGTTCAACAACTTTTATTCTTCCAATCCAAGCTTTCCTGTACGATGGGGTATAGTTGAACCGTGCAACAACATGATAGATAATTGTGCTCACCTTCACAGATGGATCTACGCCCCCAAGATGCAAAATCTCTTGGGATATCAATTGAGAGCTTAGTTTTCCATGATCTTGCCGATTGATGTTGGTTGTGCAACTATGAGGTGGATCCATCGAACCTATAACCCAACAATCACTTCTTTTCCGATAGGACGCTGCTAACCGAAACTTGCAACTTGCATTACGACAAACTATGACATAGCGTTTTGAGTCGTTCTGATTCATGTAAAAATCAACGAAGTTATCCATATGAAACTTTCTTATAGCTTTCATGCACTCTTATTTTGTTCGGTACTGGTTTCCCACTTTCAAAACACCTTCAATTTGTTGAGAAGGATTGTAGAAAACATATGAGGAAGTATCGTCTCCACTCAATTTCAAGTTCGTCAGGTGTTGGGGAGGACAATACATATGACTTAATGGTAGTGTCTCCTCATCTATGTCTTGAAGCGGAGTTAGCGCAGTGTAGTCCTCCTCGTCCATGACATCAACTTCATCTACATTCGTTGTTTCACCAACTTCATGTTGAGTCTGGAAGAGTAATAGATAAACCTCGATATAGTCGAACCTAGAGTGTTCATGACTATCAAACATTTGATATACGTCGCTGTCGTCTTGTATTTTCTCTTGAAAATACTTGACCTGATTGTTGTCAAAGAAAACGTGACTTTTGTATATGATTTGAGAGATTGGACCAGACAATATCTTCGACTCTATTCGCTCTTTGAAATGCAAAAAAATTTATTTTCTACTCATTGTTAATCGGGTAACATCTGTATTTTGAAACCCAAAACCCAAATCCTCAGAGATGTAAGTGTCTCCATTAAAATGGGCATGAACAATATAATTTGTTGTTCTATACATATTTGAATAAAAGTGTAAGAGATGTGTTTAGTAAAAAATGAGATGTATTTAATTTTTTCTTGAATGTATACATAAATAACAAAAGTGCACGAATAAAATATTCATAAATCGTAAAGGGAGGCGCCATAGGGGTTGGCTCCCCTTCATTAATGTTAAAGGGAGGCACCATAGGGGTTGGATCTCCTTGACATGTGTATGAAAAGTGATATTTGCATACATGCAGAATGACAAGTGTGGAAGATTTTCTACACAATTCAACCATCTCATTTACTTCTCTACACATCAATCAATATTTCAACTACACAAATTTAATTTTTCACTCTACCATAAATTCAAAATTCAAAATTCAAATTCAAATTTTTTACTATAAATACTTCTCCTCCTCATTATCAAAAACTCATCAAATATTTTCTTCATATATTCACACTATATTTTCTTCATATATTCACATTATAGAAGAAATGTCTCTGTTAACATTGGGCGAAATGCATAGAGGAACACCAAGCAACATCGCGTCTTATGTAAGTAGATGTACCCGATAATTATTTCACAATGTTATAAATACAATGTTCTAATGATTTGTTATATTGTTTTGTAGAATACTCACGACTTCCGAACTCGTGGGCATAAACATTTCGCACATGACCCGATAATTCAACCATATTTGGCGCACACAGGATTTGGAGAAGTCATCAAAATAACAAATTATCTCCTTGATACCAAGTTCATTTTAGCACTTCAAGAAAGGTAGCGACCCGAGACGCATACATTTCATCTTCCAATAGGTGAATGTGTTGTTACTCTTGAGGACACTTACATGTTATTAGGTTTACCCATTAATGGTAAGGCGGTTAACGGTCTCACCAATCCTAGCGTTAATGTGATAGAAGAACTTTTAGGGGTTGAACCAACCCCAAGAGATTTGAGGGGCCAAAAAATATTATTATCATGGCTCAAAAGAATTTTTGGAGAGATGAGGTTAACCCGAGATTCTCCAGAAATATTGAAAATTAGAAAAACAAGAATTTATATTATGTTACTAATAGGTTTATTTTTATGTCCGGATACAAGTGGTAACGCTGTTCATCCGATGTATTTAGTTTTATTAGATGATATAGATAAAATAAGAACATATAGTTGGGGGTCTGCTACACTAGCGCACCTATATCGGTCTTCGTGTAACAATGCAATAGCAAATTCAGGAAATTTTACCGGATGTGGTGTTCTTCTTCAAGCTTGGGGATGGTCAAGAATGACCAATCTAGCACCTATCCAACAAAATAATTTTGAATTCCCATACGCTACAAGGTAATTACATAGACCAAGAATGACCAATCTTTCATAGTCTTTTACTTAATTAATCCTATTATTAACAAATGTTTTCTTTTCGATTTGTAGGTGGTCTTCACTTGGGATGAATTACGACAACTGTCCCCATTTCAGTATCACCCAATACAAAAATCTTATAGATCATTTGGGACAAGATGATGTAAGTACTAAATATTATTAGAATATAGTCTCCTTAACCTACCTATTTAGAATATAGTCTCCTTAAATATTATTAGAAAATACTAAATATTATTTTTTTCTCCTACAGTTTATTTGGCGGCCATATCTTGGTCTAGAAGCCATTCATGAAGTTAACCAACGCAACTCTGCAGTGTGGAGTGCAAAAGTACCGATTATCAACTTCGCCACCGTGGAGATGCACAACAGTGATCGTGTAAAGCTTCAGTTTGGAATGCTTTAAGATATTCCATGTCCGCCAAAATGCATCCCCGACAAATATCACACTGATAAAGTCTCCGACCAATGAGAATATTCTCCATGGACTAAGTATGCAAAACATGAGTGTCGTGAATGGAGGCATCGCAACCATTTTGTTTTGCCCGACACTGTGTTTCCATACGAGAGAAAACAGACTATCCAATACATAAATCGATATAGGTCGGTATCCGTTGGCTTCATTTCGCATCCAAGATATCTTGTTGACCCACGCCAACAAGCCTCATCATCAAGACCCCAACAACCTACCCAGCCCTATTTCCAACCGCCAACCCAACCCCCACTCACACAACCATAAATCCATGAACATACCCCTACCTAATCTACCCCCATTCACACAAACTTATTCACAGTCCCAATACCAACAATATCCACCACCATACCAAACATACTCCTGTGATACAACAAACCAATTTAACACACAATATCATACACCCAATCAACCCTTACCCACTCAAACATTTACACCAATGTCACCCTACGATCAGGCAGGCTATCGTCCTGAAATTGCCTCATCGAGCCTACCACCCCAACATAATTATGAAGGCATGGGCAACCCTTTAAATTTGGATGACTTTGCGGAGATGGACTTCATGGGCTGAAATGATCCAATTTCTTGAAGACGACTCGGTGGACCAGACTCCACCACAAAGACCACCAAGAAATGTACGTAATCGAGGATGTGGTACGGGCGGACATTTACATCGACCTAGTCGTAGAAATTAGTGTACCATATCTCTCATATGTACCCATTTGTGATTAAATGAATTTTTAATTATTATTTAATATTTAATTTATTAAATACTATTTTATTTATATTTATTATTTGGATATTATTAATGAAAATATTAATTATTATTTATTTATTATTTGTTAACAAATATAAATATTATTTAGAAATTCTTATTATTAATGAAAATATTAAATATTATTAAATATTATTAATGAAAATATTAAATATAATTTATTAAATATTTTTTAATTATTAAATATTATTTATTAAATATTTTTGAACATTTTAAATATTAAAAATTAATTTGAAAAACTCATAAGGGGTGCCTCCAAAGTGGATGGCGCCCCCCTTATAAATTATAGGGTGACTCCAACACCCATGGCGCCCCTGTACAAAAGTAAAAAAAACGTGAAACATGGTTAGATTGGTATATATGTTGAGATGTTGGGTATATTTGTTATTAGGGGGTGAAATGTTGGTTATTTAGGTGAAAAATTCATGATATGCAGTGGTATTTTAACTCTTGAATATGCAGCAGTGACAGGCTCATTAATATGTAGATACATCCAGCAGTAATGCACAATAAGCCTTGGGAAACACGTGACATAAATTGCAATTATTAGTAGTAAAGTTCACGTTGTAACAGTCACGTCTTGACTAATTTGTTCACAATTCACAAGTACCAACATATCATCTATTTCTTTAGCATCTTATGCTTAGGTTTGTAGTGTACTTTATGGTGTAAAGCTAGAATTGCTTCTTATATCATTTCATTTTGAAACTTGGACTCCTTATATAATACAATTTTGTGTAGAATTACATGTGAATTTTCAATTCTTGTATTTTTTTTGAGTTGTTTTTGAATTTGCATCCAATCTTATACGTTGGCCCATAACCACTTTGAGCTTGTCTTGTAGAACAAATGGATCTTGAATCTCTTAGAACCAACAAATCTATTTTTAAATGATAACTTAGATTTGAACTCTTAAAGGAATTTCACTCTAATAATTTGAATATTGCTTTGGATCACTATGAATGGAAATGGTCTTGAAAAAAAAATGATTTTGAAATGGATCCTTTATGTGGATTTGGAAACTATGGCATGACTTGTATACTATGGTGTCTTGTAAAGAATACTTTGAATTTTTGAATCCTTATAATAGACATTGTAGTAAAGCTACTAAGACTTGCGAATCCTTTTATCATATTTCCCAAATTTTGAAGTAGAATTGAACGGACCTTTGTATCTTGAATAGTAACGGACATCGTTGATTTGAAATAATCTTGAACTTTTTGAGCTAATCCGAGCTTACCTTGCAATACTGAATCTTAAGGTTAAAACTGTATGTGAACCACATAAGACCTCTTGGCAACTTTAACCCTTGAATGTTGAATTCTTATGGCGAGATTTGAATCTATTATTATCCAGAAACTCTTAAACATTGCAACTTGAACGAATTCAAACATAGTACTTCAAAGCATGTTGATCATAAACTACCAACTAGGAGGTCTACATTCCTTCTCTTAAGAGACAAAAGAAACTAAAACCATGTTCTAGCCTTAGGGACAAAGCCTCGTTTGGCCCTTATTATTCTCAAAGTTAAAGTTTGAACTTAACACAAGAATCAGCTCCGAGGAATCTTTATGATGAAACTTGTTAGGAAAATCCTAAATAAACCTCACATGCCCATGCTTGGCACTAATATGAAGAAAACCTTAATTCTCCTTGGGTAATATACTGAAGCTTTTGAGAAAAACTGAGGAAAGTGACCCATAGCAAATCTTAGGATCTTTTGAATCAGAATCCAACGGTCACACCCTGAAATGCTTTACTGTAAGGGTCTACACTTGAAAATATTGCACCTACATAAACTGGTTAGTCACCATAAACATGCACACAGAAACCTATGTCCTAAAGATGCTATGCAAGATGATGCATAAAGAGGTGGAATCTAAGGGTTATAAATAGGGTGTGACAGATGCCCCTATTTAAGTTTCTTCTATCCGAAGATATGAAGATTGAAACCTAAGATGCCACAAGATGCATATGATATGCAATGATATGGACAATGAGATAAAGATCTTGTGGGAAATGATGTCATAAGGAATTGTTATACAGAAAACACTGAGGCAACAAAAAATGACAAGGAACAGACTCGGCAGAGCAAGACTCCATGGGAAAAGATTCAACTCCACTAGGGAAAAGACAAACAACCACCACTGAGGATAGCTTAAACATATGGTGTCTCCAACAAAATAAAGATGTATAGTACTTATTATCAGGAATATGGTAGTTCAAACAAAGGGCGAGAAACTTGAAATTTAAGGATAACCTACTACCAACACGTGGTAGCCTAAGCAAAGGTATCCAATTGAGATAAAAAATGCATGTTACCTACTATCAATCATATGGTAGCCTAAGCAGAGGTAAACATGGGAAGGAGAGATCACCTACTACTAAACACGGTAGCCTAAGCAAAGGTATATGTCCAAAAAGATACGGTATATTACCTACTATCAAACATATGATAGCCTAAGCAAAGGTAATGACCAAAAATAAGCTTCCATGATCGGAACATCATTCAGCTTCTTCTCTAAGTAAATGATTCATTTAGAAAGGGTAAATAAACCTCCCCGCGCTTCAAGGTTGTATGCCATGAACGGGTCTCAATTTCTTCTTTAATTAAGTATTCCACTTGAAAAGGGTACAATAAACCTCCCCACGCTTCAAGGTTGTATGCCATGAACGGGTCTCAGTTTCTTCTTTAATCAAGTATTCCACTTGAAAAGGGTAAAATAAACCTCCCCACGCTTCAGGTTTGTATGCCATGCGTGGGTCTCAGTTTCTTCTTTAATCAAGTATTCCACTTGAAAATGGTAAAATAAATCTCCCCACGCTTCAAGGTTGTATGCCATAAACGGGTCTCAGTTTCTTCTTTGAATGACACATACTTATTGGAAAATATCTTCATAACGAGAGTTCTCAAATAAAGAGAAACACTTATAGAGTCTTCAACAAACTTCTCTAACGGATTTTCGAAGAGATGCCATTTGATGAAGGATGAATTGATAATTTTGATAATTTATGGGAGTAGGTAAGTTATCTTGAAAAGAGACTGCCATTTCCATCCAAATAGAAAACCTGAGAACAAAACAAGCTGCTCAAAATAAAGAGGTTGCCACTTGTTGTCTAGGTAAAAGTTTCAAGAAGATCTTATAACAACACTGTTGGAGAAATATCTTGTCTTCAATGGTGATCTTCAAATAGATTCTTCTAGGGGAGACAAAGTGCAAAGTAAATGTACACTTAATCTAGGCTTAGCAGCCTAGAGAGATTCAAAATTGTGATTTTCAAGGACCAAAGTTCAATCCAGGAAATAACTGAAAAGAAACGGTCAACCAAGACTCTACCCACTGAGGAATGAACTCAACTGGGGTTTATCTTTATCCACGGGGATCAAACTCAATAGGGAGTTTAGAAGCATTGTGCTCTTTCTGCCTAGGCCTGATGACTCTACTTAGAGAGAGGAAGCAACCCAGTCATTCGGAGATAAACACATCCAAAGTGAAAGAACAAACAAACATCGCAAAAGTGAAAAATGCACATGTCATGTATCTATATGCTACGCTTATGCTTATGCTGGAAAAAAAAAGAAGAAACCGGAGATCAAATAAACATCTCGATACAAATACTCGACTAATATTCAAAGATGGAAATATCACTGGTGGTGAATGGAAAACCAAATCTGGGACCACATTCCTGCTTTAAAGCTTCAAAACTTCTCTAGGAAATATATTAGTCCACTTGGGGATACAACATCCTGATTTCACTAGAAGGATTGTCAATATGAATCTAGTTACTCTTTTGGAGATGAGAGTAAGCTACTAGGGAAAGGATCAAACTCATAGTTGGAGAGACTTCATGGATAAAATAAATATCCACTTCACTGGAGAGACTCTTACTTGAGTTGGGGATAAAATAAATATCCACTTCAACAGGGAATCTTGAATCAGAGTCAGAGTTTAGACTTATGGGGATTAAATAAACATCCATTTCACTGAGGAAGATTGAAATTGTCGGAAATCCACTGAAGAGTAAGGTGACATTCACTTCACTGGGAAGGTTAAAGTCTGGGAAACACACTGGGAGTTCTAGGTCACTAGGGAATCCTCACAGAAACTTTCTTGGAGTTTGAAGATAATGTAATCTTGTATCTCAAAGTTCACCCTTT